TATGGGACCCAACAGAATAGGTGATTTCCCTCACCTGAGGACGGAAACAGATCCAGTTTCGGAAACGTCGTGTTTTTCTTAGTTAATTTAAAACCAGGACGATGGATAAAGTCCGAAAACCCAATATCTTTCTTTGTGTGTTATACACCATCGTCAGAATCCTATAGTAACTACATGAATATAGTCGTTTACGGACGTCTAGTGACAACATCAAGAAGGATCTATTTCTCACAACGACAATTTTGACTTTTAATAATCAGCCAGAATAAATGAAATGAACGCATCGGATTTTGTCAAGCAAAGTCGCCGCTTTCTTGCACACTGTCATCCCACCATATGTCAGTCGTCGCCACAATTCTCTGAGAGCCATAAAACGCCAGAAAGAACGAAACAGAGCAATCTTAAGAGGAAAGGGCTACTTAAAGGCAGGAAGCAGACGAAACTTCCAATTTAATGTAATAAAAATTAAGTGGAGGATTTGAATGCATATTGCTGCATTCATCAACAAAACATTCCAAGACCCTATATTAATCTTTTCCAGCGTGTAGTTCCAGTTCGGGCGGAAAACGTGAAGAAACTATACTACGTACATGGAATTAATCAGTAACGGAAATTACGAGGGACAGTCACTAAATAGGTCACAAATGGAAGTAAAACAGCTATAATGGACGTAATAGGTTTTCTATACATATCGCTAGGTAGCAGTACTGTTCAGCTTCATGAGAGTCTAAGTAGCAGACGCGCATGCGAATGTTCAGAGGCTGGTTTCAGTAGTCAAAATGGCAACCGTGCTTGAGCTGTGCACCACCGAAGAGCTGCGTTCTCTTGTGCGTTTTATGTGGGTAAAAGAACTTATGCAAAGGAGGTGGTTATTGAGGAATGTTTACGTTTCATAGCGAGAGAATCACACTGCACATCAAATAGTTAAATATCCCATTCGACATGCGCCACATGTTTTCGTGGGGAACATAATATTACTTCCACGTCCACACCACTGTTCAATGAACATCAGAATGGGCGCACAAAATCTGAGCTGATGATCTACGTCACATGCGTCATAGCCTCGTATTCTTATTAGTAACAGCGCAAGTTATGTTGTGCGCAGGCGCAGAACCTTCTGTCTCTTTCTTTCAGACTCTTCCTCACTCTCTCAGTGACGATCTTCACCCTCTCCGATTTTGTGCGCGTATCTTACGTAACCATACCCAGTCCGTAGCGTCAGAAAAAAGGCTAACTAGACAGAAGACCTAGATTTTATTGAAAAGTTCCGCATGTATATAATGTGTCCATTAATACTGAATGTTACAGGTGTGCAATGCTGTGTACGTGCGTCTGAACTTCACACAACCATTGTGCGCCTGCCCAAGCCGATATCGCGACCCCTGTTCGGCGAGCACCAACACGGACGATTTACATTCAACAGAACTCATCACAGACCCTCGAGGAAAGGTCAGTTATATCCATATACATCGCAACAGAAATATCATAAAAATGAGGAAGTGTCCGCTGGCTTACAAAAATCGTGGGCAGTAGATACAAGCGCCAAAATTTTGAGTGTACATATTAGGATAATTTTTATGTTGGAGACTGTCTACCATCCGAGGTACGTGTATATTTGATATACACGATGTTTGGAAAATGACTGCGCCCTTATACACATGACTGCTGTGACACAATGGGCAGCGTACGACATAAAATTGATATAATGAGGCAACCACTGTCAAAGACCTACAGAGGATCGTGTATATTGTCACAGTACATAGTATGAAATTGAGATAATATTAATTAAACCAACAAAAACTAGGAAGACGTAGACACAGATAGGAAGACAATATTAGAATGGATCTTAGAGAAATACGACGAGGAGAGTGGACTTGGCTCATCTGGTAGAGGATAGGAACCAGTGGAGGACTCTTGTGAACACGATAATGAACTTTCGGGTTCCTTAAAATGCTGACAATTTCTTGAGTGGTTGAAGAGTTTTTGGGTTCTCACCGACTCGGCTCCATGGAGATAACAAAGCAAGTTTCCAAAGAGCGCACTTGAGGCCGTGGAATTACACGTATTTCTTACTTAAAAACATTCTTATGAATTTCATTTCATTCATCAGTAATCTGTCAAGATGACAGGTCCACAATCTCTTCCAAAACAGTCTCTTTCCGGAATNAAGTCTACTGTTATATTGGGTTTTTGGACTTTATCCATCGTCCTGGTTTTTAAGATAACTAATAAAAACACGAGGTTTCTAACTNCATTCATCAGTAATCTGTCAAGATGACAGGTCCACAATCTCTTCCAAAACAGTCTCTTTCCGGAATCCCGAGAGTTTGGAAACGCTGTGTCAGAGTAGAGAGTCGAAAGCTAGGATTGGTTAATGAACTGGAAAGGATCCGGAAGAACGCCTAACCGAGGCACACTCACTGCATTTGCCTGGAGGGACTGTGGTAAATCAAAATTCGTCAGTCAGGATATGAGAACAGAGACCTTCGTAACGCAATCCTAGAACATTACCGCTACATCAACCTGTTTCGTCTATGAAAGTATGAGGGCATAATGAATCGCGTGCCTATCTTTCTCTTCATAATATAAACACAGTAGNAGTAAATAGCCGTACTCAGTAAAGCAGAGATAAGCGAAGTCTACTGTTATATTGGGTTTTTGGACTTTATCCATCGTCCTGGTTTTTAAGATAACTAATAAAAACACGAGGTTTCTAACTGACCCAAAAGAATAGGTGTTTTCCTTCACCTGAGGACGGAAACAGATCCAGTTTCCGAAACGTCGTGTTTTTATTAGTTATCTTAAAAACCAGGACGATGGATAAAGTCCAAAAACCCAATATAACAGTAGACTTCGCTTATCTCTGCTTTACTGAGTACGGCTATTTACTCTAGAATAAACGGCTTGGAATGCAAAAGATCGCTATCAATTTTTAAGTTCAACTCCATACTTTTCCAGTTACTGGGTACAAGCTGTAACAGTTACGAACATATCGTGATAACCGAATCCAAAATCCGGTTATCCGTAACATTCAGAATTACTGCGTTTTTGGACTCTACCCATCATCGTGTATTCTAAAATCCAGAGAGAGCACAACTTTTCGGAAACTGGAGCTGTTTCCATTCCCAGGCGAGGGGGGAGACACCTACACTGTTGAGGTACTTTAGAAACAGTCGACCTCAATCACCAGACAACCTATGTCGATACATCTACAGCTGTACGTATATATGGATCTGAGGCAAGGCTTTGTCACCGGGAGGTAACAGGGTAATGTGCAATAAAACTGTGATAAAGCATACAGAGACCTGAAACTAAGACAGATGGCGCTAGCGGTAGGCAAACCACAATACTCTCCAAATAATTTTAAGCATTACTTTGGTGCATAAAATTTCCACCTCCTTTTCTATCTTAGTTTTAAGTCTGCGCAAGCTTTATCACAATTTTTGTTGTACATTTTTCCTGTTACCTCCCGTTGATAAAGCGTGGTCTCAGGTATTACATAGCTGTAGTTATACTGACATAGACCAGTGATTGAGATTAGCTCCTTGTAAGGGACCTAACACAGTAGTGTCTCTCCCTCACCTGAAGACGGAAACAGATCAAGTTTCAGAAACGCCGTGGTATGTAGTTTTGAGAATACTGGACGATGGACAAAGCCCGAAAACCCAGTAATTCTGAGTGTCATACACCACCGTCAGAAACCTTCATAATCTACACGTACCATACGTATATTACACAATTTTTGTGAGTAACCACTGGAAAAAAGCATGTATGTTTATTCTTCTTGTAGTCCTACTTCATATTCGTGCGTGAAGGTCCTGCGAATTCAGAATTTTGTCATTCGGATTAGCAACGGGGAGGAAAGGACACTGCATAGAAATGTTTCCCGTAAGCTAGATGGAGTTGAACTCAACAGTGATACTACAAAATAACATAACTGCCTTCTGAGATATGACGCCAGCCTGAAGATGAAGGCAGCAGTTCGCTCCGAAACGATGATCGCCCATATGGCACCATAATCCTAGAAGACGGTGATCTTCAAATAATACATTTTTGTGAATATCTTGCAAGCTTTATTAATATTTCATAAAGTATCTGATGTTTAAATCCTAAACAAGACTCTCCATGTAAGATCATATCAAGAAACTGGTTTCTTAACGTTCTGTTTACATCCATCAAGAGATCCTCAATGTAATTCATCCTTTGGATACTTTTCCGAATTATCCTTCGTTCAAAAAACATTAAAATTCCTTGACCGAACAAAATCTGTACCTACTTCAGTAAAAGGCAGAGTTGTCTCTGTGCATAATTAGTCAAGCGCTATGCCATGAAGACATATGGGGGAGTGCAGGTATAGCTCCACCTTTCTTGATTTCGGCACTAGATGGAGGCGAGTGGTCAGATTCACGCCCCGACCGCTTTACTCCAGCGGAAAGATCCCGGTACCCACTGGATGGGAGGCTGGGCGCGCCCCAGAGTCGGTTTGGACGTTGTGAAGTGAAAATCTTGCACTGTCGGGAATCGAACCCGGATCGTCCAGACTACAACCCGTCGCTATACCGACTCCTACCTACTTCAGTATATACCTAAAATGAAGAGATCTACGTTCTACTACGCCTTGTAGTCCACTAAAAATAACCGAAGTTTCGGCGAAATATTTCGCCTCCATCTTCAGGGTTGAAGAATAAGCCAAGCAAGAAACCAGCATGAAACAATCAGCAAGCAGAGTTCTGCCCAAGATAAAACACAATATTCATATAAAGAACTATTGGACACGGACCATTTGGGAGTCACTTCGTCATGAAGATGGAGACAGTAAAGATATCCGAAAGGTCGGAAATACAGTCTACTTCTACACGTTTCTGTCACGGACAAAAAGGATTAATATGAGGAGAAGGGGACTACTGCAATAGAAGCGGCACATTAAGTTTCTCAAGTTCTGGGCACGCGCACGTTAGGAACGTCGTGTTTTATTGAAACAAGTACGGTCTACTGTCCTCCAACGAGATAAGGTGAGGCAAATGGCCGGCAAACCTTGACCTTTCTACTGTCCATTTAGGGATACACTGAGATGCAGTGTGCCGACGTTAACGGTAAGAGACGTCCGAAAATCAAGTCAATATTTTCTGCTTGCATGATACAAGCAGGCGTGCTTTCGCTGGAGGATAGCAGAACACGTTGATGACCCTGTAAATCCTGAACTGAGCAAACATAAACACCGATTCCCCTAGATCATGGTCTCACAATGCAGGCCTTTCCGGCTCTTTCTTCTCCGAACAAAAGTAACAAAAAGATTTAGAAGAAAATGATCAAAAAGAAATAAGTGCATCACACATTTGTCCTTAATAAAAGGAATCAACTAAAAACCAGGTTGTGTGTCAATACTATCATTCAGTAATACAATAAAACACTGAGTAAAGGTGAAAAGGTGAAGCTATCCCTGTAACACCGTGGAGGCCCATAGGGTTGTGAGATGTCGAGACTCCCACATTTTGTTTAGACATTCGGCTCACAGATGGCGGTGAGGTCAGCTTTATGCGCCGGCCGCCCTTTACTCCAGGGAAAATTCCTGGTACTCATTTCTGTTAGAGGCTGAGTCAATCACAGCAACTAAGTGTGGCTGGAAGGATTAGGTCAATTTAAAAAAATTCAATGACCTCATCGGGAATCGAACTCGTAACCTTCCGGCTTGTAACATAGTGCCTCAATCAACTACGCTACCACGTGCCTCCTGAAAGTGCAGCAATTAGATAAAAGTATCTAATATAACGATGATGACCTTATAAGGTAGAAACATGTAGCAGACGTAACATTTATATAGGAAAAGTGACAATGCAGCACACCAACACACTGCGAGTACAAGAAGTTGCATCTTCAAGACTGACCCTGCATATTAAACCGTTAGCCAGTGCAGCAGGACGCTGAAATATAATAACGTAAGACGAACACAAGTCTTCAGAAATGTAATAAATTAGACTAAGTTACTGAAAGGCCGCGCCATAGCTCAAGCAGTTAGTCGCTGGCTTCCCACCGCGGCGGCCTGGGTTCGATCCCGGGGTCTGGTCAAGTGGGATTTGTGGTGGACAATGTGGCGCTGGGGCAGGTTTTCTCCGAGTACTTCGGTTTCCCCTGCCAATCTTCATTCCACCAATTGCTCCACAATCACCCTCACCTATCATCTGGGGCTCGTACAATAGGCCAGAAGTGGCCGCAGTACAAGGGACGTAATCCTACTGACACTTTCACAAAGATATGAGATCAGAAATACAATTAAGGATGTGCAATAACTTTATGTAAGGCGGCGAAACGCGAGTGCTAAGAAACCAAGATGGAATGGACAGAACACGTCACATGATGTACTGAGTTCGGTGTTAGGAATTACATTCACGGACAGTACAATAAATGAGGATATATGCGAACGTCTGGAACCACAAAATATATAAGTAACT